GAGGCATCCCCTAATGCAGCCGCTGCTGAAACAGACCAACAGCGGCTGAATGGGGGATGCCTGGGGCAGAGCCGGACTATCGGAAGGGGGTGCTATGAGGAGTCTGGGGTGGTATCCCCCCATACCGTCCTAGACCCCTTCCGATAGTCCAGCATATCTGATAATCCGGCACCCCCTGGGTCCTAAAGGTGCCATATTATCGGAAGTTTACTGTAAGTCATAAATCTAACCTGTAGCTCACTAACCACCCTTTACAACTGGCCAGTTCACCTTCAATGGCTAGTTCACTGCAAAAAAAAAAAAAAAAAGTGACTAGGACTTATTTAAATAGGATTAAGGCATAAACTTGTGAAAAACTAAACCATTAATATCCATAAATATGTATGTAATCTTTGAATCAAATATTAGTGTTAGCATTATGTTCATCTGAGGATAACCTGAATATCTGATGAACAGAATAGCTTTTACAATAGTGGAAACAAGATCTGTGGTTAGTCATTTACCTTCTGTAAATCTTTCATCCCAACGTACACAGTTGTAAACATTAACATTTCATGATAACTTAGCCAAACTCAGTATATTCATGGACCTCTGCCATGCAACTCATTTTACTAAATCCATAATAGGAAATTAATCCTACAAGAGAAGTACTACAACATAGTTTCTGTAAAAGGCTTTCCAGGTACTGTACTTAACATGATAGATAGGGAGAATGTTACAGAATACTTAAATTTTAGAACACTTAAGACTTCTAATAAGCATCTTACAAAATACACACTTGTCCCCTTCAGTTCTTGATTTTACTGATACTTCATGTGCATCTACTTCAGACAATTGAAAAAAATGGGATAAAATCCGAGAACTTTTCCACAATTGACAGGTACTTTTTTTGTCATATGTAACTTGGTTTCTACTATTTGAAGTGGGGTTTACCTATAAAAGCTCATGATACTATATATTTTTGTTAGTCTCTAAGGTATCACAGGACTACTCATTGTTTTTAGAAAACTTTTGGGTATGTGCTGGTTATTCAATTAAACTTTTTTATGAAAAGAATATCAGATTAATATGGTAAATATGTCTCTGGATTTGAGTAAATACATAAAAACTGAAGAAATGTTTCAACAGCATCAAATAGCCATAGTTAGCTGCTGAAAAACAAAATATTCCATATCTGGGTCATCATGATGTGATAGGTTTGATGTCAATTGACTTTAATCAAAGGACTGCAATATGGAAATTTCATGTGTATTTTACACTGTAACTAGAATCATAGAACACTAGAACTAGAAGGGACCTTAAGAGGTCATCGAGTCCAGGCCCTTGCCCTTATGGCAGGACCATGAACTATCTAGATCATCTCCAACAGGTATCTGTCTAACCTGCTCTTAAATATCTCCAGTAATGGAGATTCCACAACCCCCAGAGGCATTTTTTTATAGTGTTTAATCATCCGGACAGGCAGGAAGTTTTTCCTGATGTCCAACCTAAATATCTCTTGCTACAATTTAAGCCTATTGCTTCTTGTCCTATCCTCAGAGGCCAAAGAGAACAATTTTTCTCCCTCTTCCTCATAATACCCTTTTAGATACGTCCCCTTTGTCTTCTCTTTTCTAAACTAAACAAGAACAGTTCTTTCAGTCTTCCCTCATAGCTCATGTTTTCTAGGCCTTTAATAATTTTTGTTGCTCTTCTCTGGACCGTCTCCAATTTCTCCACATCTTTCTTGAAATGTGGTGCTTAGAACTGGACACAATACTCCAGCTGAGGCCTAATCAGCACAGAGTAGAGTGGAAGAATGACTTCTTGTGTCTTTTTGCTCACAACACTCCTATTAATGCATCCCAGAATCATGCTTGCTTTTTTTTGCAACAGTGTCACACTGTTGACTCATGTTTAACTTGTCATCCACTATGACCCCTAAATCCCATTCAGCAGTACTGCTTCCTAGACAATCACTTCCCATTCTGTATATGTGAAACTGATTGTTCCTTCCTAAGTGAATTACTTTGCAATTGTCCTTATTAAATTCATTCTGTTTACCTCAGACCTTTTCTCTAGTTTGTCCAGATCATTTTGAATTTTGACCCTATCCTCCAAAGCACTTGCAACCCCTCCTAGCTTGGTATCATCTGCAAACTTAATAATCATACTGTCTATGCAATCATCTATTGATAAAGATATTGAACAGAACCGGCTGCAAAACCAGACTCCAGCAGAACCCCACTTGTTATGTCCTTCCAACATGATTGTGAACTGTTAATAACTACTCTCTGAAAATGGTTATCCAGACAGTTATCCAACCACCTTATAGTAACCCTATCTAGGTTGTATTTCCCTAGTTTATTGATAAGATGATCATGCGAGACCGTGTCAAATGCCTTATTAAAATCTAAGTATACCACATCCACCGCTTCTCACTTATTCTCAAGACTAGTTATCCTATCAAAGAAAGCTATCAGATTGGTTTGACATGATTTATTCTTTACAAATCCGTGCTAGCTGTTACCCATCACCTTATTTTCTTCCAGATGTTTGAAGATGACTTCCTTAATTACTTGCTCCATTATCTTCCCTGGCACTAGAAAAAAACTATAAAAGTCAGTATCCTAACGCTAAACAATATGAAAATACAAAAAAAAAAACTGTATAAACAATTTTCTAGAAAATGCATACATAGGAAAAATAAAAATTAAGTGTTGTACTTCTATTTTAACTCACAACTCAGGATATCAAGAAATCCACACCTTTTCAATAAACAATTACTGCAGTACATTCTCAAGCACTTTATTTATTTCAGTGTAATATTATTCAAATCATGGGTTTTTAACTTTAATTAGATTATTCCACAATCTAATACAATTTACTTGTCAAATTTTCCATCATGTCAAACCAATTTTTCCAATTCTTAATTTCATCCCAATGTTCTCTTGCTGTGCTTCCACTCTCCTCCCCCAAACCTGTAACTCATCCCTGGACATAATTTTTTCAGTGGGTCCAAATTTTGGTACATGGTCACGGGCAAGTTCCAGATCTCCCAGAAGGGGCAGGGCCTCAGGCAGAAGGTATAGGGCTGGGGCGTCAGAGAGGAATTGTGTGTGTGTGTGTGGCCCAGAGATGGGAGAAGACCCGGGCCCACCCTCTCCAGCAGGTCCCATCCCAAGGCCCTATCAGCAGTGGAATGGACCATCACTAGCTCAGCAGGGAATCCTACCAAAACACACTGAGCTTCCAAGGTACAACTCCCTGCCTTGGGCTACATCCTACCAGTTTTTCCAGTACAGTCTTCCCCAGGTCTTCCCGCTAGACTGGGGGTTTCTTCTGCAGTTCCCCGCTGACTGGCCTCTGTGTCTTGGTCCATCTGCAGTTTCATCTCAGGAGTTCCAGCAACACCTCCTTCTTCACTGGCAGTCAGCCCAGACCGAGCTGCTCCACAGGCTTTTATACTTGGCCTCCAGCTGAAGTTTGCCTAGCAGGGTTGTGGGGGCAGGGCCTCCACAGCCAGGTGGACAGGGTTTACCCTTGCAGCCCCAGTGCAGGATAGGTACACCCCATCACAGATGCCATTACAACTTGTGCTGCTGCAAAAAATTATGTGCCATTGTCCTAACCATTAGTCTCCCCAAGAAATAGACTGTGTGATGTTGGATATCTGTTAATTAATCTTGAGTTAGATTATATTGCTACACAAGTGTAGACTACAATGTAGTGCCTGGGTTCATATGCACATGGGATTGAGCACCACTTGAGACCTCAGAAGCCCAATGCCCATCCCCTAAGGGGGACAGGCGTGTCTGGCCTGTGACAACATCTTGCCAGAAATTCAGTAGCTATAATAAACTTGCACACTTATTTGTATAGGTCTTTGTAGTTAAGACACAACATAAATGTGTATTATCTTGGAAAGTGCTCTGTACTTACTTATGTATCTTCATACAGCACTTCAGACAAGCATGTTGTGTGTGTCAGTGTTAATGGAAATATTGGCATTAATTCTCTGAAATCAGCTACCCGATGGTGAGCTGTATTTTCAAGAGGACTGCGTGGATTACACTAGCGAATCTAAAACTATGGGTTGGATTGGGTTGCCAGGGCTGGCTTAGACTTGCTGTTGCCTGGGGCTAAAGCCCAAAGCCCCACTGCCCAAAGCTGAAGCCAAAGCCTGAGTGCTCAGATCATAGGCCCCTTGCCTGAGACTGAAACCCTTGAGCTTCAGCTTTGGCTCCCACTGTCTAGAGTGGGAAGCTTGGGGTTGGGTCCCACCTGCCCTCCATTGCCCCACACAGCCAGGGCCAAGGGACTTAGGAAGGCTCAGGCCTCAGTCTACCCTCTTGGAGTCATTAAGTAATTTTTGTTGTCAGAAGGGGGTCATTGTGTAATGGAGCTTGAGAACCCCTGGATTACAGAACAGATTTGATGCTATTAGGCACATTGCAATATTTTGATTTTCCCAAATCACCTTAAGCAGATCTTTCCCAGTGTGATAATTCCAGCGAGTCCATACAAACAGTAGCCTTCTTAAACAACCCATAGTAGGTCCATGCTTATCCTCACCAAATTTGGATCATGGCACTTAGGCACCTTCTCCACGGTGTTAGCCTGAAGTAATCTTGTCAGAATACAAATCTCTAGCTCAAATTCAGTGGTGCTTTAAACTTCAACTAGCTGTCCAGCAGGGGAGCGCAGGTTGCATCTTACACAATTCATCAGCTGCTAAGCCATCAATCTGTGTAGCTCAAGTGTTTCATAGTGTGGCTGCTTTCATTTGATCTAGACCAACTCAAGTGGATAACTTGAACTAACTGTTCCAGAGAAAAAATGTCCTAAAATAAATTCTGGCTGGTCTTTACCCTCAGTTTCTTTTAGTTTAGCTGGAAGCATATTTGCAAACAACTTGATTTTTTTTCTCTTGAAAGTCACCAAACCATTGATCAAATGAATCTTGAAACTTCTTGTTTGTTTCAGTAAAGGGACAACTGTCACCCTAATACAAACATTCAATGGAAAAGTCACTCTACTTTGAAGTAGTCACATTAAAGCTGAAGATTCAATCACCATAAAGGGAGAAATGGTGCAGGGTTGAATCACAAGTTTAGCAAAGATGAAGCCCCAAATACTAATCTCTACTGTGATTCCACTGGTGACCTTGGGCAAATCACAACGGTGACACTTACCAATAAGTTTAAAAATGACACTGTGCTTTTTGTTTTGTGTTCATTCAGGAATCTGCTTGTTTTACTGATATAAAAAATGTAGAATTAGTAAAGTATCTCAAGACTCTCAGACTATGCAGATCATGAAAACTCATACTTTAATTGAAGAAGCTGTAGCTCGGAATCTAACAAAACATCCTTTTAAAAAATATTTTATAGTTGGTGGAATTAAATGGCTAAAATAGAATTAAAAGCTGTGATTAAACATTCCTCCTCTTTTAGTTGCTAAGCTTTTAGTCATTTGTTCTTAGTTTTCTGGTTCTCCAAGCACTGACTCATTCAGTGCAAGCAATATCTAATGTAAAAAAGAAGCAGACAAAAAAGATTCAGTCTTTCACCTTTTATATATAAAGATGCAAACTTTTCTCTTTTGCAGAATACCTTTAATTTCCATCACTGAGTTTCTCCATCTAAGGGCCATATCCTTCACAGGGAGCCTGTGAAGCTTAATGTTTGTAACATGATTTAAACATGGAAACTACTATAAATATTAAAAGTATAAAGAGTATCAAATAGCTTATGTCATTGACCTTTTGCAGAGCTACCAGGACTTCCTGAAAGTTTCTGTTAATCAAGGACTGCTGAAATTTCCAGCTCTGCTCATTCTCACCACACCAAATGGTGCACAGCTGACTTTACACCAGCCAATTATATGTCTGCTCTGGGGGAACTACCTGCTTCCTAACATGGTTTTGTGCCCTTTTGGGCCGCTAGAACAGATTGAGGATTTATCTCGCATTGCTTGTTTCCTTGTGTTAGCAGAAACCATCTAATCACTTGAATTATTGCACTGTTTTAGAAGGGTATTAAGGATAAAATTCCATGATTTGTTTTTGTTTTTCTAAATTCACAATTTGGAATAAACATTTAACCTATGATTTCATCCATGAGATGTGCTGATTCTAATTTTCAGTCTAAACAGTCATGACATCCTTGTTGTTTTCAGTATTCTTGAGCTATGCATTTTGCAATTGTACTCAACTGGATATTTGAAGTTCCTTCATATATTGCACCTGAAACAAAGCAAAGGAAATACAACTGTACTAAGCACGTGAACAGTAACTTCAACCCTTGAATTAAAGATTCAATTAGAGCTCTAAGATTACAAATAGAGCTCTGTGAGGATATAAAATTGGTATCTGCATTAGAGATGTTTGAGTATAAACTAAGGATGTTAAATATCGATTAATTTACTAGTCAAGTATTCGATGGAATTTCCATAGACTACTTGACTAGTAGATAGGCACTTCCGCATTCCTCCTTTGAAATGTACAAGAGTCCCAGCAGTGGCTCTTGTGCATTTCAAAGTTGGAACTCTGCGTGCAGCCTGGGGTCAGTAGGATGTCCCGCTGATTCTGGGCTCCAGGAGGGCGTTTCTGCTTTGAAATGTACAGAGCCTTAGTATGGGACTTAGAAGCGCAAGCGGAAGTGAGACTTGGATTCCTAAATCAGTTGGACACTTTTAAACCCAATTTTCTCCCTCACACGACTTCAATTTTCTGTAAGTTCCTTTGATTCATTTGAACTGAAATTTTGATTGAACAGTAACATTCACACTAAAGTTGTACACACACTCTTTTTACACTGAATTAAATATGATAGATTGACTGAGATACCTATTTATGACCTTTATCATTGTCATATTTCAGTGTTTGTCTGCTGAAAGGAAATTTTTTCTGACAAATTGGTATCCAGGTAATTGAACCCACCGTGAAACACCACCAAACCCAAGTCTATATTATATAGTCATAAGAAATATCTGCTTACCAATTTTACAGTCTCGGTAGTATTTTTCAATTGGGTAATCTTTTGTGAATCCGACTCCACCCATCCATTCAATACATTTACTAGTTGTCAGTGCTGCAACCTAAGGAAAATCAGATTCACAATTATCATCCCAGGACACACCTTTGCCAAGATGTCAACAACATTTGTTCCATCTAATTTTAGCCACCTATCTTGTATAAACTGTATAAGAATGTTGTTTGCACGCCAATTTAAGGTTCATTTCTACTTCACCCACCTAATGACATGAAATCAGAATACCTATTTGTAACAGTTCCCTCCCTACCTAGAAATAGATTTTAATTGTTGTTTTGACTATCATGGCAAGTGAAAAGGAAGCAATTCCATGTTCATAGACATTTTTGGATCTTATATGCTGAAATATCATTATGACTGGAGGAGGCCTTCCTGACCAC